TGCGTCGTGCTGCCGAAATGCTTGTGTTCGGAAATCTAGACATGGTGTAGAAACTGCAGCGTCCAACCGCAGAGTACCCCTGCAGTGCCCAACCGCAAAGTATCCCTGCAGTGCCCAACTGCTGCTGGCCGAACTTGTCGGTGCATTGGAAATTGTGGTGCGCATCCAGTGCCGTGGGCAGTTGCACGCGTTCTGGGACCTTGCACAGTGTGTTGGCGCGCAGACTGTGCTGTCTAGAGCCAGGTGGGGTTCTGCCATGACGATGTTGAGTTTGCCAACGCAGCGCCTTCAGGCCACTTTGCTTGCGCTGCTTTGGCGTCTCTCGGGAATGGCCTGATCCACCCTGCTTGCAGTTCTTTCTCGTTGGAGCAGGCCTTGCAGGACGTCTGGATTGTGCTCTGCTTGCGTCTAATTCCCCTGGCAGTGTAGGAGATGCACGTCATCAAGTTCATTGACATCGAGAGATGCCGGCTTGGGCTGCCATTGATGGCTCGTAGGGATCTCTTGTCACGCCTTGCTCAGCAGGTCTGGCAGTTGGGCATCAGGGTCTTGGCACCTGGATGTAAATGCCTGGAGAAGCTGGAGGGGAAAGGGCTGGCCATCTGTGATTCGCAAGCAGGCTTTGTCATTGCACGAGGGGTGCAAGCAGCGGTGCGCGATCTCTGCGACATCTAGTTGCTGCTGCTCTGTTAGTGGGTGGCGGCCTGATGATATGCTCGGATAATTGTTGCGGGTTGATGTGTTGCAGACGGTGCTGGCGAGGTCCTGCAGTCTGCTGGCGCTAGAAGGATGGGTGTGGTCGACGTTGCTATTGCGGCCGGCCCCATTGCAAGGCCTGCGATGCACGACAGGCTCGGGAAGGAGGTTGGCAAAGTCACGGGGCCGCCTAGACCCAGTGAGGTGCAAAACGGCGTCATAAGCTGAGCGAGCTGTGCTGCCAGAGACAGCGGGTATTCCGCTGTATGCGAGCTGACGTATAGATGTGGCCTTGCTTGAGGCCTGCGATGAGGCCACGCTTGTGAAGCTTGCACAAACATCCCACGACTTATACACGTCCATGCCGCGCTGGCTAGATGTGCGCAATGCACTGCGAGCTCGCGGAGTAGAGTGACGTTGTCTGGCTGAAGCCATGCCATTGACAAGGGGGGCTGCTCCAGTCCGGTCTGCCCCCGCGATTCCTTGATGCACATATAGAGACCTGTCGGGACCTTGCGTGAATCTCGGCGCTGGCGTCTACTCTATGTTGCTCGTCCTTTGACAGGCCTGGGACTCCGTCCATAAAGTCCGGCGCGCGCAGTGCTTTGGGCCCGGGCTGTCTAAGCTTAAGACGCGAGAATTCTTCGCACGGCGGGGCAGACCATCCTGAGCCCACTATGCTGCTGCTTGCCATGCGGAGAAGCAGCCTGTATTGCGTGTCGTTCAAGATGTCGTGCTCTGGATTGGCGTCCAGATCGAAAGGGTCTAAGCAGTCCGCGCTCGCATGGTTTTTCTGAGAGGGGAGTTTATGCCCGCAAAGAGGTCTAGAAGCAATCGGGGGTGAGGTGCCTTGCTGCGTTCAGGTGACGGGCTGCTATCGCTAGACGAACCGGTGCCTGAAAGGTGGCTCCGTGTACGCTTGAGGCCGTGCGGAGGCGATTAGGGTTAGGGTCAGGGTCCTGCTCTGCGGGGCAGGGAGAACACGGGGTAGGGATTATGGTGGAGGCGGTGCTGAGGTGCCTCTAGACAGGCGTGCGGGCAGAAGCACCCAGCATCAGCACACAGGTTCAAGCCCGCAGACAAGACCGAACCCTTGCAGCAGCCTGATGGCGCATAGGTGCGTAAACTTGCAGTTGGCAGCTGCGCAGGATGCGCGGTTGAACGAAGGCAAGCGGTTTTGTTGCCATGCTTCAATTGCAGATTCTTCATTGTCTCTGTGAGTTTGCACTTTGCCGCTTTTTTTGCCACCACCTTTGCCTTGCTTGCCTTTGCCACCTTTTTGCAGAGGGGGCTTGGCACGGGGCTGAAGCAGGACGAGCAAGACTGCTGTGATGCTTGTCATTTCGTGCAATGCTTCGTCCAATGACCGACCTTCTGCGTGCAAGCTCGCGATTTCATTCCAGAGCTTGCGGTCGGCCTGGAGGAGTTCCTGACTATTGACCGTGCGGCCGTGCGGAGCCCGGTGTCTGTGCCCAGGGATTGAGCACGAATATCAAGAACCATTTTGTCGAAGACTTTGAGTGTGGCAGGGTGTGCGCCGTTGCAATGCGCGATGGCGTTTCTGAAGATTTTCCTGTGTGCTTAGGTGCGCCCTGTCGATGAGGCGTTTCATCAAAGAGTGCGCTGCTTACGAGCTGTGCTTCTGTGCGGAGCGCGCGGGACGTGCGTGCTTCGATTATGTCCTGGTATTGCCTCTGTGACATGCGCAATTGCCAGGGCACCCACTTATTGCTGCCTTTTGACTGGAACCATAGGTGCAGCAAGCTTAATAAACGAATGCTTGGCGTTGCATCTGCGTCCAAATGCTCGCCCGGGTATACCGTTTGCCTTGAACGTGCTCTGCGTGCGTTGCGCTGCCTCTGCATCGAGGTGTGGGGGTGCGTGCTCTGCCCACACATTGGAAGCTAAAGTGGAGGGCGGTGCGGAGGCCCGGAAGGCAAGGAGACGCCATCGCTGTGCTTGGTTGCTTGCACATGTCTAAGGCACGGCGGAGTCGTGCAACTGCTGGGCTGGGATCTGGGTCCGTGATGCGAAGCTGCTCCCATAGCGAAGAAGGCAACTTTGACACGAAGTCGGAAAGATCTTGTGCGTCAATGTATGCATATGCAAAGTCTGAGATGCTAGCGATGCCAGTGTCCAGCACCTGCTGAAGCTGTTCTGGCACTTGAACATGTCCCAGGAGAAACTGCAAGCTTTCGCTGGAGTCTACATCCCAGTTGGGGCCCATGCCTCTGAAACTGTTAAGACGAGAGGCGGGACCGTTAAAACCTCCAAAGTGGAGCCAGCAGAGCTGAGGAACGCCAAAAGTGAGCGCAATTGCAGCTGTGAACAGAGCAGAGCATGGGGCACATGAGTCGAAGAAGTCGATAAAGACCTGACAAGTTGTGGTACGGAAAAGGGGGGGGCCTGCAACCATGCAGTCACAAAAAAGCTCTATTTTCAAAGTCCGCGGCTGCTAGCAGGCACGCTGTGCGCCTGCATATGTTTATGGGCTCTTTGCACGAGATAACAAACGATGCTGGGCCAAGGTGTGCCCCGCATCATGCTCGCAGCTTGGTGGTTGCCAACATGCCCATGGAGGGAAGTGCAAGGATGTATTGCTCAAGTGAATCCTGTGTTCGTGCATGCATGCAACCGAACCGCCCGGAGGCCACGAATGTGCGAAGGCCGGCTTGCTCGTCTCGTGGGTCCTCCTCTGATTCGCTTGCAGATGAGGCATGGTCTCGTGCAAGCTGCTCTACTATCTTTGCTTCATCGTCGAAGAGGGGGCTGCGCGGGCCATGTCCTACCGGGGCTGACGATTCATCTGCAGGCGGCGTTGCAAAGTCGATGTATTCCTCTTCAGAGCGAGGGTGGTCGAGCGATGCCTGTGCTGATGCGTGCATGTGTTCATGCCGAGATGCGAATCGGCACCAGGGGCCGTGCAGAATGTCGCTGTGCGTCAACTGCTCTGCTGGCAGGGAATAGGGGACTTGCAGCGGAGGCTCGGGCACTGGTGCACAGCCGCCACGGGCCATTGAGCGTTGCGGGCGCCAGTTGCTTGCAAGCGCTGCTGTGATCTCACGCTGTCAAGGGTTTAAGGTCTAAGGTTAAGGTTTAGGGTCTAAGGCTTAGGGTAACATAGACCCATATATGGGGTTGATGCTGGTGTTTTGTAGGGCTTAAATCGGGCTCTGTCTGAGGATGCCCCAAGCCCTGAATTTGTATGGAGATGATATGGCAGGTTGCATGTATTTGAGAGATTTACTCTAAAGGCTTATTCCTCCTCGCTCCATAAATGGGGCTTCAAGCTGCAAAGTGTATGGCTTCCAACTCGGAGGTCCATGGTCATTCAACCCAATTATAACTGTAGTTACAACCCAACTATACGCCCCCTAAATTACCTAATCAGGTGCGTACCAACCAAGAGAAGGTAGGGATATACTGCCAAATCGTGCACGTATGTATGGTTATGCTGTTTTGGTCCGCAAGCCCTAATAAACCTTGACGTCTTTTACTCGGACAGGAAGGGGCCTCTACAGTCGCTGAGTAAATACCTTTGAGCGGTCTACGCGGTTTAAAGTTTAGGGTTCAAGGTTTAGGGATGATTAGGGTTTGGGGTTTTAGGGTTAAAGGTTTAGGGTTTGGGGCTGCAAGAAAAGGACTACGGAAATCCCACAGGAGGACTGTGCAGGCATCATCCTGAAACTAACACTTTCGCCTACCTTGAACCACCCCTTGGTCAACGTATGCTCTTGGAACACGAACCATATTATGGTTTGGGCATGGGTGCTCTGGTCAACGTATGGTCATGGAACACGAACGGTGTTATGGTTTGGGTATGGATGCTCTGGCAATCGTGTGGTGTTGGAACACGAACGGTATTACGGTTTGGGCATTGATGCTCTGGTAATTGTATGCTCCCGAACATGGACGTCATTATGGGTTGGGCATGGATGCTCTGGTAGTGGTATGCTCTCGAACATGGATATTTTTGTGGTTTGGGCGTATTACGAGTTTAGGGTTCAGGATTTCCTTCACCTATGCTATGCAGTCGAAGCACGGGACATATCACTAAAACGCTAAAAGGTGAACACTTGCAGAAAACACCACGGCAAAATATGGCGCGCGCTCCAGCTACTTAAGACATAGGCCTCAAGGATCAAACAACAATATTTAATCGTCCTCTCGGTAGTAGTACAGGTGGTTGTGGTCGTCGGTGGTCGTGGTAATAATAGTAGCAGCAGTTGTAGTAGTAACATTAAGGAAAATGGTGAAATAGCATGCAAATGCTGAATCCTAGCACTAACACTCTTTTTTGTGCGAGTAACACGCATATGAATGGTACTACCGGGAAATCCAGTCCTATAGCTAACATGAACCAGAACCTGAACCATGGCCTCATCGATGAAAAGGACTCCACCAAAAGCACCTGGGTGCGAAGTCACGTTTGGGTCTCCTGTCCCTGATCTGGCACTGCATACGGACACTGAAGGCCTTCCAAGGAAGATCTGGTTTAGGGTTTCACAACACTTTGTGTAAAAGGGGGCAGCCTCATTCCCAAGTACGCTTTGCAGGGCCGGGAGCCACTAGATCCTTAGTCTAAAGCCAGGACCCCAGGGGTCTAAACCCTAACCATTGAACCCAACACGCTGCACAACGTCTACCTGGCCCGGAGATGCCCTGCAGTGTCAGTGTGGTGTATTTTCTTTTCTAGGTTCGTTTCTCTGGATTCCTCAACATCCTAGTTGCGTACTTGGGGATCTTTATAAGGGCAAGGGTTGTCTTCGTCAGTGTGCAGGGTGACCCCGAGTTGAGAAACTCGACTAAACAGGCGTGCTCCAGGTTTGGGTGTACCTCCACAGGCTTGCAGCCCAAATGTACGGCGGCTACCTGAGACACCCTGAACGAAGAGCAGGATGCAACTCGTGATGGGATCCGATCTCTCAGGAGCACTTCTGGCCCGGGGATACCTTTGCCTTAGACAGCAGAATATCCCAAGCTAGCTGAATAAACAGCCCAGACCAGAGCTTGCTCCGTCAGCCGGGAACCTCAATACGAATAGCCAAGGGAAGCAAAGTGACTCTCGACGGCTTTCCTGACCTTGCAGAGATCATGCTATGAGGGATCTCCTCCCAAGTGAGGGTGCCTTTAGGGGTGTATGGAAATTCTTGATGTACCTCAGTCTTCGGCCAAGTTGGGATGAGAAACTTCCAGCGGGGTTTAGGCCTTGGTTTGGGGTTGTCAAGGAAGAGACGACTTTTGGGAGGGAAGTTTTCCTGCTTCTGGTTTTGCCGAGGATCCCGAATTTTGAAGGGCAGAGATGCAGGAAGTTCATACATCCCAGAAGATGCGAACTTGTCTTGGGAATTTTGGTTTGAGGCCTTAACATGGAATGACTTTCAGAAATCAGGAAAGCTCTATTTTTCAAAGTTCAAGCATCGAAAGCCCAGACCAAGTATAGCATCCAGGCGTGGCATCCAAGGGTCTAGGGCTTGAGGGTTCGTGGGGCCTCAACAGCATGAGAGCATAGCGCAAGTTGTCGGGTGTTCATGCACACTCACATGTTACCATAAGATCGTATCCTGCTACTGTGCGGGACAGGAGCTTGAATTGTGAAAAGGAAACAAGGACCCCACACTGAACATGAACATGGAATATTTTCATGTTTACGTGCAAGTTTCGGTGCGCTGATTTGACGGTTATGTCAAATGGAGAACCGGCTTCCACAGGCTTTTCAACGGACCCAGAGGCTGAAAGCTAGTGAAGGATGTCTGAACCCTAAATCCGAACCCCAAACTGGTGACATCCTAACGCGTGCCTTCGGCGCTGTACTTCCTACGTAGCCGCCCACAAGGTCTGCCTTGCTCACCTGACAAGACAGGTGAAAAAGCCCTGCAATCTTGGTTAGGCTCATGGTTTGAGGCTTTTTCTTGAAATGGGGGTTTCCAAAATTAGGGGTACCTTTTTGGGGGTCCCTAAAATAAGGACTATAGTATATTGGGGTCTATGTTGGGGTACCCTAATTTTGGGAAAACTACCATATACGCTAAGATACATAATCGATATTCCGGGTGGGCAAACATCCATTGTTGAAGACTTGGTTGACAGTGGAAGGCTCTTGTAGCGTTGAAGGTTGAGGACTTAAGGCTAAGGCCATTTTACAGGGGAATGTGGAAGGGCAGGCAAGAAATGACGACGCATTTACCAAGAACTCCACATAAAGCCCCTCCCCTCCAATCGCTGCTGCTGCTGCTGCTGCTGCTGCCGTTGTCGCTTATGTTGGCGGTGGTGCAGGCTTCTGCTCCCTGAACAGTGCAAAAGCCGGAGAAGCCTTGAAATGAAATGGCATTGATAAAATGAAGAAACTACTACATTGCACATTGCACTGCAACATGCCAAGCACAGTCGGGCACTAACAACCACTGACAGCGAGCTCAAGCTGCCAGGCACACAAGGTCTCACTCCACACATCCCCTCCTCCTCCTCCTCCTCCACAGCATGTGGGCAGGGCAAGAAGCCTCACCATACAAGCACCACACATGACCTGTCGGCACTCCCAAGCTCTTGATTTCCTGTAGTGGCACATACATCTTCATAAGCTGAGTGCCACAAAAAGGTCGGGATGAAATCCCTACCTGCCGCAACCCCGAAGCCCTCAGTTCCCTCTGCGTGGCTAAGGCCTCTTTGAAAACAAAGTCGCTGGCACCGTCGGACTTCGTGTCGCTCCTGGGTTGCTGCTCCCCCAGGTCTATCAAAGGGTCGCGGCGAAAAACCCAGAACGAGATTTCCAAACGCAAAAGAGAGAACCACTGAGCCAACAAAAAAAACAGGGTTCGTGTCGTCATTCTCCGACTTCGGCTTCCTTACGACGCCAAGGTCCACCTGTCATCTGCGATGTCGTTGGACTAGAATACAAAATCCAGTTCAGGATTCAGGGGTGCCTTACAGAATGCGTGAGCGCAGATTTCTATAGCTGATGTGAGACTTTCTGGGATGTTGCAGATCAGCTTCTCAAAATTCCAGTATCCTGACCGCCGGCCGGATGCTTTCGCGCCCTCCCCTTTGTAAAGATTTGCTTTTGATTGTAGGTGATGATGGGTCAAACGCCCTTCTGTGGGGCTTAGCTTTGGGTTTGGGGTGGAAATCATGTCTCCACTGACCCCAAAATTTTGGGTGGTCCCGTAGTCTGGGTGTTTGTTTAGAGTACATGTCAATTCTTGGTCGTATTGCTACGGTTCTCATCACCCACCCACTGAGTTTCGATAATCTTCCATGAGAAAGTGGTCCTTGTCTAGTTATCTAATCAATTGTACAATGGTCACCATGGCCAGCTGCCCATGCAACCTCCCTTTTTTCACATTAGGCGAATAAACAAAGTGTGGGACTGGGAGTGCCGGTATTTTGTGATTCAAGGTTTTAAAGTCCTAACTCACGAGGCTCTAGTTGCATGTCAACGCCGTAGCAACCCCTGAGTAGTGCCAGTTCGGGGTCGAAGTGCAAAAGGAAGCAGGTAGTTGTATAGTCCCCCTTAAGTAGATAGAATATGGCTTTGGGTATATTCTTATAAGATCCCCATATACCCCATATTCTATCTACTTAAGGGGGACTGTAGGCTGAAGGTGTTCTGGCAAGCATTGGGGCCGAGGTCTTCGGATTGCAGCAAGTGTGGCGGTTGAGGAGCCTGCTGACATCCTTTAGACTGGATGGCTGTTAAGAAACTTAAATTAAGTTACCATAATGGGTATACATATAATAATTAATAAGGTTTCCCCAATATAGTAACTTGAATTAAATTCCTTTACCCTATATATCCCTATATCATTACCCCCTACATACCTTCATAATTTACTTTAAGTTCCTTAACAGCCACCCAGTAGGTGCTACTTGCGAAATTCAACGCAGAACTGAGCTGTAGTCTAAACTCCTTAAAGGGGGGTTTCTGTAGGGGATTATATAGGGGCTAGGAGTTTAGACTATAGTTCAAAACGGGGCACTGGACTTTGATCCTCAACCTTGTGCAGCAGATTGCAGACTGGAGCACCTCCCGTACAGAACCCAAGCTGAATCCGAAACCCTCCACATCCCTACCTCCAACGCAAAAAGTCAAAAGGTCCAAAATCATGTCACAATGTACAACCCACAAAATTTCCGGCACGTGTAGATTGATGCCTGCTCTAGCCACATGCCCCTCCAGCCGGAAAAGAAGCCCTACACTCGGCCAACGAAATGCCCCTGTCATGACAAAAGATAAAAGGCTTCTAATGGGAACCCCAAATAGGGAATCCCAAGAATACAGTAGGAATGTAGTAGAATATAAGGACAGGACCCTCGTAGGTATATTCCTATGATATTCTTCCTACCTGTTTGCGGTTCCCAGTAAAGTCCTTTTAGCAGGGCCACCAGAATCTTCCCCGCAATCCGTGCCACGACCGTCTTGCCCGTTCCTGGGTTACCGTCCTCAGCAAACGTTTGACTGTGGCTTTCTAAAACCTGTAGTCTCTTTAGACCTATAATGAAAAATCCAATTTTTAGAAATTCCTTAGGGTTATACTATAAACATTAAGAATAATTCCAAAGGAGACAACAGAAACCTTGTGAACAGGTCCGTTCAGGGCTGCTTCTTGCCGAATAATTCTGTGAATTCTTGAGTAAAATGGGGGAATAACTGAACATACCGCTCTACGTGCGCTGC